GTGAGGCCGTGGGGCGGTTAAAATGGCCTTGTTTCTTGAAAAATCCCTTGTTACAACCACGTCCTTACCCTCGGATTTTTCTCCTGAAAATCACCCAACTAAACCCATTACCTCAAAAATGCCAAAAATATTCCACGCACTCGATGAAGTACACTCGACTTATTTAACCCGAGGGACTCGACTCATTGACACGTTACACTGATATTAAATCCCCTAATAATCCCATCCCCTGAATTCATGGAGTTCCGGTACGTATAACACGTATCGTCGTTCTAGCACGGCCGAGAGAACGATGCCGCAATTAACGTTCCTATGATTTAGAGCTCCACCGTTACAGCACAACGTTTTGCTTTGATTTACTGGGTACGTACGCGAAATTAATTTGAATCCTGTGATTTACGAGAAATTTGTGAACTCCACTCGGCCAACTGTGTGCCATTTTAATATTATCATTTTTATCAAGATCCTGAGCTCTTCATATTATTTACATCCACCATACGCTGTCAAAATTATTTCACATAATTTTTTCCACTAATGAATTAATTAATTGCCATTGAAACAGTAAAAATTCAATTTACATGGTCGGGATTGCAAGGGGCTTTTACTAAGTCAAATTGCTTGAGACACAGAGGCAGATTGGTGAAATTAATTTCAATTTGAAAACGCGATAGTGTGCACGCCTGGCTGATCACGAATGAACCGATAAGATTTGAGTTTGACCGTAAGATACTTGAGCCTGCGGTGGCTTTAAAGCGAAATTCACTAAAATCGAAGTTTCAGCTCCTCTCTTGTACAAGGTAATGTCCACCCTTCGAAAACAATATATTACAATATATTAAAATATTTAAAAGTGCACATTACATTTTGACAATTCGAATCTTGTGACAATTTCCATTCAATCTGCTTTTGACTTCCAATTTAAATGTATATGAGATGGTGAAAAATATATGAGAAGCTCTGATAAAGGACTTTTGATTTATAGGATCGTGAGGCACTCACCAGAAATATCAGATACCGTTAATGAATTTTCTGGACTTTGTGGGGTAGCTACAAGAAATATACACGGATTTTTGGAGGGTGCAAATCCACTGGCACATGTAGTTGTAATATTAACTGGTATTCACTCGTGTTGTCTATTTATTCAGAGTGACTTTTCTCTCGCCTTTTTCTCGTTTCTTTATCGCTGGTAGATTGAACGGAAAGAAGATTGACGCCGCGGTGAGTTAGAAACATACGTCTGTCGGGGATGTAGTTGCACGTCTCTGTTATGGAGATTGGTTTTGCCGGGCGAATACAGAAGTACTCGTCTTATAAAACCCCATGTTTTATCATTGTTCACCTAGTATATACCATGTACAATGTGCCCTCCACAAAAAAAAGAGTAATTTATCGGAAATTGACGTGCATTGTCAAAATTTCATAATTTATTCATTCCCCCCACCAAAAAAAAGAAAAGAACAAAAAAAATTATCACTCTCAACATTTTTATTCGCCAAAGTAATGAGTGAAAAATGCGAGAGATACGGTCACTGACCAAGGAATAATATAACTTCATCGGAAACCAGCTGACTCGACGAAAAATCCTTTCGGTGTTAAACTCGCGTCTCTTGTAACGACTAAATAAAAGGCACATCTGCACTAATGCCACGGGAATAATGAAAATATAGCGTTCACGATTTGAATCGATACAGCAGTGGCACCTCGGGCCCTCGGCTATTTATTTTTTTCATATCAAAGGAATATTTCAGGCGATATTCGAGGCACGACGTGCATTTCACGCCTAATTTCGCGCCCATTCGCCATTGAATATTCCTGGATGCCTCAAGAATATGCGGGCGCTCGATTATTCTCCTGGAGGTGAACAATCGAACATATTCTGGGGGATAAAAAAATTGCAAGACCGTTGTGGGAGGAGTGGGCGGTGGACACCGCTCCTAAAATTAATAGCCTGATTAACAAGTAAATGGAAGAGAGTTCGGGCCATATGCCAAGCTGGAGGGCTCAAGATTTCAATAATTATATGGTTTATCAGTGGGAGCAATAAATCGACAGTGTCCATCCAAGTTCCATCCCCCTTGCAGCCACCCTATCCAACTTTTGCCCAGTGCTCCGTGCAATGGGGTGGACCCGGTGATATATGTGTTTCCTATAACAGCTAGAATCAAAACAGTATGTAAGTTCGAACCGAGGGGGACACGAGGCTTTTTGTTCATCGGCTATCGTCTTATTCCGGGGCTCCAACCATATCTCCTAATCCTCACATTGAAAATATTTCCATCAATAAACTATTTCCCAATCCCTGGAGACACAGCCATTAATTAATCCTTAATTTTTTGATAATTCCTTGATTTTATCGCTGCGGCAAAATGAATTTTTAATTGTGTTGACGAAAAAAAAAAGAAAGAAATTCAAGTGCAACAGCTCGTTGCCAGAAAGACAAACAAGTATGGTATTATAATGATCACGAGGTATATCCAACGTGCTGTATCTGGGTAACGAGGGTGTCACCGTGCCGGCGCACATGAGATTAGAGTACGTAGGGTTGAAACAACCCCTGGACTCTGGTCACTTTGACCGGATACTACAGATGTAATATCGTAAACAACTGGACACTGAAAATCTCCGGGTGTGTACTTAATATTTATATGTGTGCGTACATGAGAAGGGGGTGGCAACGTTAGAAAGCCACACATAGAAGTGAGAGGGGAGGGGCACTCGGTGAAAATTCGTGTGCAACCCTTTTACCACCCCCTTGTGCATCTCTCGCTTTTACCAAACCATCCTGGTAACTCACAGAGGCATTAAACCAGTGTTTACTCTTGAATATTCATTCTTCGGCGTGTGCTCCAGACTCTATACTGCACATGTTTTACCGGATATTCTCTATATATATACGGCTATACCCCGCCCAAGTAATATTAAACATTTTTTTGCCTTCTGATAATTTTTTCATTGTTATTATTTTTCTTCGTTTGATTTTGTTGCAGAGGAAAATGAAAAGATATAGAAAAGATAGTCAAAGGGAGTCGATATCGCTCTCCCCATTTCGCTCGTTTTTTCGTTCGTTTCCCTCTAGCAATAAATACGGTGAAAGGAGCCATGCTATCTCGGGGACAATAAAAATAGATTTGGCGTGCATTGCCGGATTGCCTGCCGCAAGTTACGATTAAAAGATCGAGAGTCGATCCGCCCATGCCGTGTACGAAAAATCCTCAGGTCTCGGTCACAATATTTTGGTTGTAAGCAATTCCTCGAGTAAACTAAATAACTATTGAGATGACGACAGGAGACACGAATAAGAAATATCCAATGAATACACGGAGAAATTGAAAAATTATGGCCAAGACGGGGGGGGGGAAATGGTAATGAAAGTATATCCGATAGAACTCAATATCATATTCTGAATAAAAATCCTTGCCGACTTCATACATACGAATATACTTGACGGTAATACTCCTTAGCGTGGATTAGTCCGCTCAATCAGCAAATATATTCGATGCCCCTATAAACTTCTCCCTCCGGATTCAACCCCTGTGTCTATTCCACTTCTCGTGTATACCACATCTCAATGAAGCGCTCCTATCAACTCATTCGCATGATTTTTCTCAATATCTCCAATTATCAATCGTCACAATAAAATTCATCAACTCCCACATTGACAATTGATTATGAATATTTATCTACACTGGAATTTAAAATACGATGGCAATTTGCTAACCCCTTGCAACCCCTATTGACACCAGCTATGAGGGTATTTTTGAGCGGTGAATTGTTCAAAAGTATAAGCTTTTTTTTTTTTTACTCAGTTATCCAAGTTATATCGCCGGAAAAGACGGAGGTTATAGATATGAAGAGTTTCTTGGGGATTTGTATGAGCCTTATATGGCATCTGTATCATAGGGGTTGGAACAGCTTTTTTCCGGAGACTTTCGGGAATACACACCCGGATCTCTCCACTGGGCTCATCGGATTTCGAAAGGATGACGGTGGGAGGGGTTGAACAGGAGCCGATGCCGTCTGCTTGCCACATTTCGCGGCACATTGAACCCCCACGGACTTTAAAATACTTTACCCCAAAGTCAATCTGACCCTATCAATCGCACTTACGGATACTTGGACGTTTTCGTCTCGTGTTACCAGTCCGATGTATTCATTGAATTATGAGGGGAAACTTTTTATTTTGATTCATGGCTAAATTGATGGGAATGAAATTAAAAAATATTATGGTCCCTCTGTTCCCTCCCTTTTATCATCATATTATTTCATGAGGAGAGTCATGTACTCACGAGCTGATTATGTTCTTCGGCGAGAATTTATCGACTGATACCAATTGCAATGAATGAAACAATAGACAACACGAAGTCAATTTAACAGGCGTTAACAAATCGTTGGGGACGGGTTGAAGGGGTTTTGCGGTTTGCAGTAGGGGTTGTCAGGTCGGCATATAGTACATTGTTACAGGCTTCCCCTGGGTATGTAACCGCGTGCGTGTGCCTCCAACCCATCCCCATTAAAATCACTGCATCACTGAATTACCATGTAATTAAAATTAACCCAATGGAGCTCCTTTCAGTGAATGGGGATAAAATGGCCCAAATAAATTTCCCCTCAACTCATTAACGCGTTTAGGGAGTTAATGATTTGATGGTGATCTTGGTCGGGGATGTTTCAATGGAAGTACAAGTGTCGGATGAAATTTCTAAGGAGAATATGACTCTTGACTTTTCTTCAGTGGTAAAGGGGGCGATTGAATATTAGGGCGGTAGTGCATGATGTATATAATATACTTGAGTTGGGCGAGTGACGCGGTTATTCGGATATTAAACTTTGAAGATGCCGGCACTGCGCCGCACTACTGACTCAGCAAGTGTCATCGAATAGCCTTTCAAGGATATTGATAGAGTATTGAACGCAAATTAACCAACCCAGTATCGCTTTTTTTGCCATTTCTTATCTTTTACTGTTGCCCCCAAACGCTAGTCAATTTAATTCACACTTCATTTATTTAGACAACTTGTTTTTTTCAACAATTCCACACTTGTCGTAAAAAAGGCATTTTGTTGTACGTTGACAACTTATTGTAGATAAATTATGACACTGCGTAGTTAGGTATTCAAAATTTCGATATGGCCACGAGCGCATAGATAAAGTATTTGTATTTAAAACCTGGTTACCACTATTGCGGCTCCCAGTGCATGCTAACGAGTTGAAGAGGCATAGAAATTATTGTACAAAATGAAAAAAAATTGTCTTTTTATCGTGATTCTCATACTCACTCTTCTGGCCATTTTTACTTCAGGTTTGTATTTATTTATTCTTTCATGGAAATTAATTCAATAAATTATAACACTCGAAAATAATTCTTATCTTCTAGCTGATAATAATAGTTATGATGTGCCGCATTCACGCGTACGTCGCACGAGCTGTTTCCTCGGTAATTTTGGTTGTGCAGTTCATTGCATCGTTCGAGGATTTTGGTACGGCGGACAATGCTCTGAAGATCTTTGCTACTGCAATTCATAATACTAACTAGAAAATAATTAATTTTCCGCGCAATAATAGTGCATTCGTGAATTTATGACGGCTGTAATAAATATCAGATAAAGGAAATAATGAAATTATTTCATTTTTTTGGATTTTTTAATCTGAATTTTTTCTTTTTGCATTATTAAATTATGCAATACATAATATATACACGATGGATATAATGCATTTTACTGGCTGTCGAAACACTCTATCCTTTGGATCTGGAAAGAAGGGGAGAATTGGAGTCAGTTGGTGGCAGTCGATAATCTATCAGCAGCCACAGCAAAGTGTCGTGAGTCACCGTTTACACTTAATGGCTCGAATGAATAATTAATAATGTTTTCCTTGCAGTAATTACAAGGAGCGAATTTTTTTTTTGTGCGTCTTGATTTTTTTTTAATTTTTTTTCATAACCACGAGTTTCATTTATCAAAAAATTTACCTTTATCACAAAATTCGTGCATTCCTTCAGCTTATCACCAATTAACTGAAAAAATACGTGGACTTGAGGACACTCTTTAGGTTGAAAGAACCTTTCTGGGGTAAATTCGTTAGGGTGTGTTTCAATTTTCTCGTTGACAAGTCGCTCTCGAGGTCTTCCTTCGCATTTCTATCTCTGTGGATTAATGAAAAAAAATTCATAGAAATTAATTCAGGGAGAAATGAAAATGTGTATTATTTATATGACGTACTTTTGCTGTGGATCGATGTAATGTCTCACGAAAAATTCGGAAAGGTCTTCGAGAATGGGTTCTGAGTGCAGAGCAACGAATTGTTCTCGGCAAATTGTATTCATAATTTCCACAGTGCAGGGATGAGTCCAATAGCAATCGTGCACCGATACAAAGGTAATTCCCTGTTTTTCGCAATGCAAACTCGTCAACATCATGTGACACGAATCCAGGGAGTGGATAAAATTCGGGGCAAAGGCGTTTTTTTGTTTTGTGGCATTTGGTTTCTCGTACGTGTCCATAGCAACTTCCTTCAGGCCTGTTCTTGTCGGATTGATTTTGCTGTATGGCTGAACGACAGGGAGACCCAGAGGTGTTACCCACTCCATATTCTTTCCCTTCATGGTGGAAATAACTTTAGCGCAATCAGTGAACCAGTCCTGGATCTGCCTGGCACTGTCGAACATGCTCCTCAAGCTATCGAAGGTCTTCTGAGCGAGATAGAGACTGGCACTCCACACAAATTCTTGGGGAAATTCGTCGAGATCCTTGAGCTGTCTGGCAATCTGCAATCTGGCCCCAAACCTTGTCACTCCATACACAGTTGTCATGACAGTCTGCTTGATGACCTTTCTCTTGACAAAACCGTCGAGGACCTGTGCTACCTCCACCCCATTGTTGGCGTCCCTCTTTCTGATATCCTCTACCATCCCAGCAACACTCGAGTAGACGTCCTGGGGGACAGAACTGGGATGGAGATTAACATTCTCAGCACCACTTTGATCCCTTCCAAGAGCGGCGTAGTGCTGCAGTCCATTGCAACTGCCATCCTGATGAATTGGAAATCTACAGATGTAGTCCTCCGGATTCGGTGACTTGAGAGCATTGGAGATCTCTATGCAGGTAGCTAGGGTCTGCCAGGGCTCATCAGACATCGCCCACCACATCTCACCGTCCATTGGTCTCTCAGCACTGTCCACAATTTCATCGAGAATTTCATTGGCATAACGCAGCCTCTCATTAATCGAATTTCTCTTCTTGAATCCCGTGAGATTGATACAATGAATTTTCAGCCAATCCAGGCCATTTGGCCCCAGAGGCTTTCCCAAGGCAAAAATCAACATTGATCTAGCTAGGTCTGAACCCAAATGATTCAAATGTGGAGGGACTGGGTAGACTCTTCCCCTGAAGTCCATATTGTGTGGTAGCCAAAATATTTTATTCCGAAAATGATTGGCCAGTGATAGTCTGTACAGGGCATCACACCATAGAGAATACATCTCCCCCTTTTGTCTTCTCAAGTCCATTCTGGCTTTGAAAATAGATTTCCTCTCTTTCTCACTGCAATCACGCTTGAGCAGCGGTGGAGGGGTCAGGACAGAGGGAGGTTGTGGCACATTTAGCCTCTCAGAGCCCCCATTTCTGAAGATCTTGATGGCGAGATCCAGAATGACAGTGTTCACTGTCCACGGGATAGAGGCCAACTGATTGAGACAATCCAGAGAAGGCCACAGTTGACGTTTTGGCACCACCTCTAGACGTTTCCATTGCTCCATTGCGTAGATGGGAACTCTGACGACGTCAGTTCGAAGGAGAAGATATCCACCACTTTGAACTGACGACCATGGACGTGGTGGACACTCGGAAGGCACTAAAGAGGTGTCGAATTTCAGGGTTTCTGGTTGAGAATCTCGGTAGATCTTGGCGAGAATTGGGTGAGGCTTTATCTCCTCGATTAAATACTTTTGGGTATTGTGTCGGAATAGTGTATAGAATGCTGGAAGAAAGTGTTTGGTTTTGCTGCAGGGCCTGACTCTACTCACGTCCAGCTTTATGTCCTTTAGAATTATTTGATACAAAAATTTTCCCACTGATATTTGTAGATTCACAGGCCACCTAATCGACTCCAATTCCAAATTCAGCTCTGGAGACACTTGTTCTGCTATTCTCTGCCATGCTGTCCTACCATTTGCCCCATCTGGTCTATCCACGTACCATTTACTGTACCTCGAATAGACCTTCTGCAAATTCTCAAGATATCCATGGTTTTTGCTCTCCAGGATTTCATATTTATCATTTATATGTTTTCCAAGGTTCTTGCAGAGGAAGGAGAAGGAAGGACTGAACGTCTCAGATCCATCTGCCAATCTCCAGGTCTCTCTGAGAATGGCCTTGACGTATTCCTCCTTATCGAGAACGCACAGGCAGGGGTAAAGAACCATTGCATTAGGAATTGGTTGATATTCTCGACTTTTCAACGCCTTCAAATCTCTGTCGAAGGCTTCTGATGCTGTTCTCTTCCATTCCTCTTCAAGCTCAGATATCAGAGACTTGTAATAGGGGACTATTGGCTTTGACTTGTCGAATTTCTCGATACTTTTAATCTCAACGTGACCCACAATTTCGTGATTCACCTGTCGGGAATATCTTCTGTTGATGTTATCCAGCGTGAGAGAATTCCCAATTGGACTACAATTTGGTTTTCCCCCATCTGGTGTTATTCTTTGCAATAGACGACAATCGTAAGATTCCTCTGTAATTTGTGGTTTAGGCTCGAACCCTGGATCCAACAATTTGATAGCCTTTCTAACACTGGAATACTGACCCCTCTTCGACTTTGACTGATGGACTACCTCATCGAAGGTGATATTCTGTCTGTTCATCATTCGACGAATATCATTCAAAAACGGCTGCTCCTTCTTAGCGGCCGGGATCCTACCGAAGCACTCGAAGACAGCTGCATAAGTTTTGGCTGTTGGCGTTAATCCATCCTCACGAATTATTTTCAGGAATTCCTTAACCTTCTGGAGATTACCGCTGGACGCGTAAGATTGCAGGAGAATATTGAAGAGAGTGATGTCAGTGATCCATGCAGTTTTTATTTTGCCCGAACGTTTTCGATAGTGCATTATCGTGTGGTAGGCTCTCCCCATCATTCCCGTGCTCACACATACCCTCAGGTAAGCGTTCAACGTTCTCACGAGGCTTTCTCTCCTTGCCTGCTCGTGGACTTGCTTCACTCTTTCGAGGTCACTAACATCTGGCTTCTTCTTCTTGGATTTTTGTATGGGGATCAATTTCAGAGGCTCTAAATCGTCATCGAGGTCCTGCTTTGCCTGATCATCTGGAATTGAATTCAACAGAGAACGATCCTTTATCATCAAAGCTGTGTCTGATATACCAGAGATCCCTGACGTCTCCAGGTCATCCATCACTGTCATCCCCGACTTCTGGTTCTCTGCACTCATCCTCAGGGAATCCTCTATTAAACCGGGAGTCTGAAGTCCCAGAATGTTTTGCGATCCCTCTGTATTACTGCCAGTGTTTATTTCCGCATTTGAAATTTTCAAAAGGTTTGTTCGTTTCACCCTGTGGAGCTTGTCTAGTGTTACATCGGGCTGTCGCATTAAAAGGGACAGGTGAGAGGCATTTAACGTTCGCACTGCTGCCCGACGATTACTCGTTAAATTATGGGTTACTAAAAATCGGTAATAACGAGGAAATTAACAGACATTTTAATACCATAAACCAATGAAGGAAAATATGAATTACCTTCTAATAGTTCAGCATATCTCTTGGGTTTACGCTTTTGTTTTTTTACGATTGGCAATAGAGCAGTATTTATTGTTGACGTCCGATGTCGAACTTGAGAAAATGTCAGATCTAAAGATAAATTTACAGAAATTATTATAATAATAGAAATACGGCGACTGAATTGCGGGGATGATTTGAAAAAGCAGAAAACAAGGAAAAAAGTATATCAACAGAATATATACATCTATCAAACTCCTCAGGATAAAAATAAACAGTAGACACTGTATTGATAATGTCTATCCTTTCATTTGTTACATAACTATCTCGAAAATGGGATAAATAACAAGCAGGACTGATTTATGTAATAAATAATAAGGCCTCATATTATTAATGATAAAATCGTACTTCTCGGCATTTTGGAGTGATGAACATGACAAAATGAGCACAATTTGTCACTGGTTTCTGTATAAATATTCAAGGAACCGGTGTAAGTATTCCTCACGGAGAGTCTGTGGGCTTTTATCAGGCGATACATGACTATTCCAATTGATGACAAGCACACGTATTATTACAAAGAGTGAAAAGTTATTGAAAACAATGGATTATGAGTGCCGCATGAGGCGGCCATCGTCTCACCATGATCTCGCATGGACAAACACTTTTTATTGGTTAACCGGATGTCTCTGGAAAGCTCTCAGTAGGCCAAAGAGGATTGACTAAAGTAGAGGCTCCGTTCTGGGGGTTTGACTGACCCCAGCGGCATCGTAGTGCTGCACCCCCAGACAGGGAGGGCGCCACACGCAATCCTGGGGTGTGCATCAAATCGACGGGGTGAATTTTAATTTCTGCGGTATCAATGCTTTTTGTTTTTCATTTGTTTAACTGAAATTTAGTCGACTGTAGCACGTACGGAAGGGGGAAACCACATCTTGTAGAATTTCAATGGAAAAAATTATTCAATCTATTGAATATATACCACTAATGAATTTATAATATTAAATGAGCGCGTTGTCCTAGTGGTAACGTGCTCGGCTGGCACGCCGGCAGCCCGGGTTCAATCCCGGCATCATTCATTTTTTTTTTTTTAAATAATTCCAATTTTTTTTTTTTGTTAATGGCAAATCAATCTAAATATTGTTTAAAAACTGAATATTTGATAATCGAGGAGACATGCAATGAAATTGAACAATTTGACATTTTTAAAAACGAAAGTTTTTCAATATATATACTCCTAATGAAATTATTTATTGTAATAACGCGTTGTCCTAGTGGTAACGTGCTTGCCTACCACGCCAACGGCCCGGGTTCGATTCCGGCATCATTCAATTTTTTTTTTTTT